CCCTACTCGAATCGACTAAATCCCTTGGCCTTGAGCCCAAAGGATCGTGCCTCACCCATTTCACGAAATCGGACTCATTCGGCGATCTAGTTCATATTTGAGGCAAGGGCAGATTCCTTAATCCTAACGGCCAATAGTTGTTTACTCGAATCAGCTAAATCCTTTGGCCTTGAGCCGAAAGGATCGTGCCTCAGCCATTTCATGAAGACAAAAGGATCTCATGCCTTTACCATTCACACATAATGCAAGGCCTGGCACCGATTGGTTCAAATGCAAGGGCATGTTCTTAAACCTATTCGATTAAATTCAAAGTCTGAATCATGAATATTTGCCACTACCCCTTTTTTTCAATTCTTGAATTATCCATTTTTTTTTTAATGGAACGATTGTCTAATGAAAAGCAAAAAACATTCATTTATAGCAGCAATTAAATACAAACTAATGCAAAGCAAGGGAAAATTTCATTGATAAACTGAATACAGATAAGGTATCACTTTATACATGAAGATCACTCTGAGTAAAAATAAAATAAAATAAAGGAAAATACATTCAAAATCCTTGGCAAAAACAATCAGAGTGTCGCCTTATTCAATCCTCGGGGTCCTCGGGGTCAGACTCCAGCGGCTCAACGTCCACTTGCTCGTATGGAATTAGCATAGCCAATATCACATTTGCAGTAGCAAGGGCTTTGAGCCAGCCATGCTTGAATCCCCGATTCTCAAATTTGGGGACTTCTTCCACGTAATTTGCAAGAGCGGCGCCTTGCCCGGCCGCATACGCCTTGGAAGTCTCGGAGTCGGCTTTTTCTTTTGCCTTCTTCGATTCTTCCAATTCAGTCTACAGCCTGGCAATCACCTCTTGGGCCGACTTGAGTGCTTCATCGCTCGCGTTTTCCCTCTGCTCGGCGGCCAATATTTGCTCTTTAGCATTTCTCGCTCTTTCCATCTCAGCCTCCGCCCTTGCACATTCCATCGTCCCCCTCACTGCTTCGAACTCGGCCCAACTCCTTTCGCCCTCAACCTCCAATCTTAAACGGCCAATTTGTTCAACGGCGTCGTGCTGGCGCCGGCCTATCTCAGCTATCCTTCCGACCATCTACAAAACAGAAAATTAAAACCAAAACAATATACACAGAAACGTAAAAGACAAGATCAAGCTATATACCAGAAGAGCTGTTTAAGCGGCTAATGCTATTGCTAACACATCCGGCTCCACCCAGAAAGCCGCCTTGTCAGCCGACAATGATATCGACGAAGCCAGGCTCAATGCCACAGTTGGGTCTTTCACAGCTGATGCGTTAGAGGAGATCGGCATGTGTTTTTTATCTTTAGCTGAACCACAAAAGGCATAACCACGTCCGACGCCTCTAAGCACGGCCGTTTTTCGACTGGGTTTTCTTCAAAGACGGCCTCGACATCGGCATGACGCTTCTCCCTTACCTTATCAGCCTCTGGAGTTGACCGTTCGACTGACCGTTCCGTCTCGGCGATAAAAGTTTGGGCCGTTTCAACCACGACAATCAGCTCGGAGGATTCAGGGAGGGCAGGTTTGGAACTAATGGTCTCGGCCCTCTGACGGGAGGCCAAACGTTCGGCGTTCTTTTTTCGTGCCAATTGAGAAAGAGATTCCTTCGCTATACTCTTGGGATAGGAGCCGGGAAGATCTTCCAAACCAATAAAAATATCTCTGAAGGAAAATTCCCCCCGACCCGAAATGGACGGAGAGTTAGACTGGTTAAGGCCGGCTGCCTCAAACGCCGAGTTTAGAGCCTCGTCAACCTCTTCGGCTTCCAAGGCGAACTCTCTCGTTGGTTCGGAAATCACCTCGACCGTTGGCTCTACATCTTGCTCCGAATCAGAAGCTTCAAAACCAATTTGCATAAGGTTTTTGAAGCGGGGGAAGACAAGAGCTGTAAGATGTTCACCGGATGGGATCGGAATGTTCTCCGCAGCTGAGAACGTAGTATAAGTTGGCTCGTACCTCAAGAGTATATGGACGGCTCTCCTTTGTTTCTGTATGTTTGGACGGCCAAAAAACTTGAGTGCAGTCTTGATTTCTGTGAGGACTGCTTCGTCGGCCGAGATCAGAATCTTCTTCAAATTGCTACCTGCACAAACAAAGGATTAGACTTGGAGAGAAAGCCGAGGAAAAGAAGGATCAATAAACGCAAGGAGCTACACGACAACTTGGTTCGCCTCTCTGTCTGGGTATAGGGTCTAGGTGATCTTCGCCTTCGCTGAATTCCCAGTTGCCTCGGACATGGACCATCACATCATCAACTCGTTTGCCAGAGCTGGCAAGCATGGTTACCAAGTGATGGTCAGTGTCCTTGGCCTTGAGAAAGTAGCGCCCTTGCCGACTGGAGGATTTGGCTAAAGCATAGCAGTGCCGAATGGCAGGAATGCCAAGGTTGATCCTAAGGCGCCGGTTCAATTCTACGACCCCCATTATGATTCGAAAAAAATTTACATTGGGTTGGGAAGGAATCAGACCCCAATGGCGAAGGACGGCCCTAAGAAATGGGTGTAAAGGAAAATGGATTCCACCCTCTACAATGGATAGGAGAGGAAAGACGATTGTATTTTCATCATCCCTCTCCATATCAAGAGTGTTGTCCGTCACGAGAGACAAATGGACATCATCGGGGATAGAAAAATGGCGTCGGAACCTAGAAATACGACCCTCAGAAAGGAGGTCTTTCAAATGCTTAGCCATTCTAGCAAGGACTAAAGGGTATGCTAAATCGAAAATAAACACGGAAAATAGGATTACAAAAAGAAGAGAAGAAAACTTACGAGAGGCAAAGGAGACAAGGAGAGACGGGAAGAAGTTGCAGAAGATGCAAGACCGAGGAAGAATATCTGCTACCAGTCCAGGAGGCTCAAATATTCGAAAAAACATGCATTCGAAGAGACCGGAGTTTCAAATCATAATAAATGCAAGAAATGCACGAATGAGGCGGGAACATATAACGGTGACCGAAAGGGCATGTGCGTTCTAACATTCACATTCGGATAGGCGAAGCCACCTAACTTATGTTTTTTGTGACTTTTCAAATTCGAAACCAAACATGCCAATTAACTGCTGTTAATGGGGAGTTTGGGGGGCAATTGTGGGAGCCGAATAATTATCAGAATCAGATAAGCGAAGTAAAGAGGCCTAGGAGACAGACATTATTCAGCCCTATCATGCATGATCAGGAGGCCGAATACAATAAATAGGCCGAATAGATATTGGATTATGGAGCCGAGTAAATAAGAGGATAATGGGCGAAAAGGGGGCCAGGCCCCAAGGCTCGGGAAGCGAGTATAAATAGAGGAACAACAGTCAAAGAAAGGTATGTGAGAACTAGCATGCTTAACTTAAGATACAAGCAATTAAGAGAGTATACACTGACTTATCCGTCAGAATGCTAATTCTGGCACCCCCGACCGGAGTGTTCATTCCTTTCCAGGTGACTAGCTAAGGATCACGAGCGTTCCCCTGGATCTGAAGAGTATTTCCAAACTACTTTCCCACAATTTTAAATTGTTTTAACTTTTTTTATTTGCATAAACTATGTATGGTTACCAATTATCTAAAAAATTCTTTAGTGTGCAATGTACACTATATGTAATTTTAACACAAAATTAAGTAAGTTTTCACAAATTTACACAAGTGATTCCATAAAAATGGTAAGTTGAATATAAATTCGCGTAAATTCACAAAATCAAGTAAACTTTTTTCCAATTTTTTTTTATATATATTTTCTCAAAATAAAATCAATTCAAATGATTTATTTTTATTTTTAAAACAATAACCAAAACGCTACCATGTAATAGTGCTGTTGTATAACAAGGCAGTAGTGTAACGTACAGCAGCATCTCCATCCGCTTATACACAATTAAAGAAGCTCCTGGACAAATTTAAAATGAGATATGTATTGAAACCATAAAGTACCTACTTCCATGACATGAGCAGTGGCAGGGCTAACATAATATATTGTTGACTGAAATATATGATTTGTTGACATTTGGAGGCTGTAGATTGATTTTGATAATTCAATGCTCAAACTTCATATGATTCTAATATAATTCACATGACGACATATTTTTGATTAAGTGGTATTTTGAGAAGTTAGTAAAAAGTTAATTTTTTTAAATTTTTTGGCTTTTTGGTGACTTTTTTGGCTTAAAAAGCTGGTTTTTTTGCGACTTTTTTGTGTAGAAAAGTTAAAAAGCCAAAAAAAAATTTTTTTACCAAGTTTCCAAATTGCCCCTAATTCTTAACGTTTTGAACGGACATTATTAACAATGTGTCAGGCCGGCCTTATGTATTCAGAGTCCAGTGTTAATATTTTTATACGTTACTTAAAAAGATAAAATTAATTAGAGCAAATTACAATAATAATAATAATAATAATAATAATAATAATAATAATAATAATAATAAATGATCTTAGACAATAATAAAAATAAATAATCTTAGGATTCAAATTGATACAATTAAAATTTTGGGATTTAATTTGAAAAATATGTGAAATCTTGAGATTTTTTTTTTATAATTTTCCCAATTAATTAAAATAAATTTATTATAAAAATTTAACAATATAAAATCTAGTATTATTATTTTATGTTTTAACCATTTATAAACATCTAGAGAGAATATCAAGACCTAAGAAAGTTCAATTTTAAATGGTGAATTGGATTGAAAAAAAGTTTGATAAAGTAAAATCAATTACTTTGGGGTCTTCTACTAATGAAAACAGTTTTGTTTTTGACTTTGCTGCTGCAGCTCTCTATTTAATTGAGGTCTAATTAAAAAAAAAAAAATGTGTTAAATTTTATAAGAATTTTTTTCTAAATGAAGTTTGATTTTTTAGTCCAAATCTGGCGGGTCAAAGTGGGCGTTTTGCCGGCTTGCTCATGAGCCAGCCATGCAATATACTTGGCATAAAAATGCAATTCACCAAAAGCACAGCAAGTACATTTTCTTTGCTCAATGGGGCTTCCAAGCTTAAGCTTGAGCATGTCATGGCTAGTTCACAATTTGCATATTTATCTAATACTCTTATGTTGTTTGAGCATTCTCAACTCTGGCTTTACTGCTACCATGTCCAGCTCCAGGCTAATGGGGAACGACACAGACCGAGTTTCATTGCTGGCAATCAAGGCCAAAATAGTTGAGGATCCACTACATGTTTTGAGCTCCTGGAATGATTCTATCCACTTCTGCCAATGGCAGGGCGTTACGTGCAGTCATAGGCATCAGAGGGTCGCTGCCTTGGTCTTACAGTCCCGGGAGTTGGTGGGATCGATATCACCACACATCGGGAATTTAAGCTTTCTGAGGGAATTACGGCTTCAGAACAATAGCTTTGGCAATGAAATTCCCTCGGAAATTGGCCGTTTGCCAAGGCTGCAGATTTTGCTGCTGAGCAACAATTTAATTGGTGGCCGAATTCCTGTAAATATATCTCGTTGTGCTAACCTCGTTTACATCAATTTTTCTTACAACAGGTTGGCAGGAGAAGTTCCTATGGAGCTGGGATCCTTGTCGAAGCTCGCAATCGTGATTATATCCGTCAACAATCTTACAGGGAGTATCTCTCCTTTCACGAATTTGTCATCTCTTCGCGAGTTGTTTTTAGATACAAACTACTTTGACGGCAGCATTCCTGATGGTTTTGATCGATTGAAGAATCTTCAGAAATTCGCACTCGGCACAAACTGGTTGTCTGGCGTCATCCCTGCGTCGCTCTTCAACCACTCTTCTCTCACAACTTTTGATGTCACTATTAACCAAATCTGGGGAAGTCTTCCCTGGGACTTGGGAATCACTCTTCCCAATCTTGAATTCTTCAGCATTAGTGCAAACCAATTTACAGGATCAATTCCGGTTTCAATATCGAATGCATCTAAACTCCACCAACTGCAATTGGGTCCAAACAAACTTACTGGAAAGGTTCCTAATTTAGCAAGGCTGCAAAACCTCAAGTGGCTAAGCATTGGGGACAATCAGCTTGGTTCCAGGGAAGCTGATGACTTGAACTTTATCCACTCTTTGATCAATGCTACAAATTTACAGCATTTGGACGTGGGCCTGAACAATTTTGGCTGCAAGTTTCCAGAATCCATCGGTAATCTCTCGAGCAATCTTCAAGTTTTGTATCTAGACAACAATCAGATATTCGGAAGCATTCCACCCGGGATTGTAAATCTTGTTGGCTTGCAGAGTTTGAATATGCAGCTTAACCAATTCACTGGTACTATTCCAAGTGGGATTGGAAAGCTTCAAAATCTACACCAATTGAATCTCTTCAACAATTCATTGTCTGGTAACATCCCATCTTCCCTAGGAAATCTGAGTTTGTTAAGTAAACTTGTTTTAGGACTTAATAACTTTCAGGGAAACATCCCTCTGAGCCTAGGGAATTGTAGTAATTTGCAAAAGTTGTCTCTTTCTCAAAACAACCTTAATGGCACCATACCAAAACAAGTTGTTTCTATCTCATCCTTATCTGTATATCTAGACCTATCCCAAAACCAATTGAGTGGTTCTCTTCCCATGGAAGTTGCAAAGTTGACAAACCTTGGTTACTTGGATGTCTCTAAGAACCTATTATGGGGTGAAATTCCGAGCACTCTGGGTAGCTGCACAAGTTTGGAAACGCTACGTTTGGGGAACAACTTTTTCAACGGAACCATTCCTTCTTCTTTGAGTTTCTTGAGAGGCCTTAGTGAGTTGGATCTCACAAATAATAGCTTGTCTGGTGAAATTCCAGTGTACCTGGAGAGCTGTATTTTGTTGCAAAATTTGAATCTATCTTTTAATAATTTTGAAGGTGTAGTACCAACACAAGGTGTATTTAGTAATGCAAGTATAATATCAGTAATGGGAAACAGTAAGCTCTGCGGGGGGGTAGCTGAATTGAAGCTACCTATATGCAACTTCAAAGTGGATGAAAATAGGATATCAAACAATGCCTTAACTTTAGCACTCTCTATACCCTTTGGGCTTGTAGGACTAGCTCTCGTGGGGTGTGTTTTCTATCTTTGCCGATTCAGAAATAGAAGAAAAGATACTCCTTCAGATTCATCAAAAAATTCACTCTTGAGGGTGTCTTACCAAACTCTTGTTAAAGCCACTGATGGCTTCTCATCTTTCAATTTAATTGGTGTTGGTGGTTTCGGGTCTGTGTACAAAGGAGTTATTGATGGAAGAATTGTCGCTGTGAAGGTGCTCAACCTTTTGCGACATGGAGCTTCGAAGAGTTTTGTATCCGAATGTGAGGCCTTGAGAAACATCAGACATCGAAATCTTGTCAAAGTGCTAACAACATGTTCGACAGTAGATTATCAGGGCCATGACTTCAAGGCCCTAATTTACGAGTTCATGGTCAATGGGAGCCTTGACGAGTGGTTACATCCAAATCCCAATGAAGATTTGTCAAATGAAGAGTTTAAGAAGCTAAACCTTCTTCAGAGACTAAATATTATCATTGATGTTGCTTGTGCCCTGAATTATCTTCACAACCAGGGCCAAACCCCAATAGTCCACTGCGATCTTAAGCCAAGCAACATTCTTCTGAACAAAGATATGACAGGGCATGTTGGTGATTTTGGGTTAGCAAAATTCCTTGCAGACCATGCCACCCATGACTTGTCTACAAATGAAACAAGCTCTGTTGGCATAAGGGGAACAATAGGTTATACTGCTCCAGGTGAATATGCTTTCATTTATTCTTAATTGTTTCATGCACCAAAAGGTGTAAAGAAAATTGACAGGTGATTTGGGCCATACATTTTTTTTTTTTTTTTTGTGCATAGTTCTCTGACTTTTTCTGTTTATGGAGCATCTCTGTCTTTTATATCCAATATTTTTTTTTCCCTTACAAATACATTTCGTTTGCAGAATATGGTATGGGAAGTGAGGTCTCAGCATATGGTGATATCTACAGTTTTGGCATCCTCATGTTAGAAATGTTTACTGGGAAAAGACCCACTGATGAAATGTTTAAAGATGGTTTAAGCCTCCACAGCTTTGTGAAAGGGGCTTTGCCTGGCAGTGTATCGGAGATTTTAGACCCAATACTTTTTCAGATCGAAGGAGAAGAAGAACAAAGCTTCATAAGGAGTGAAAAATTTGTGGAGTGCTTGAGTTTGATACTTGAAATTGGAGTCGATTGTTCTTCAGAACTGTCTAGAGAAAGAACAAACATTAATGATGTTGTAGCTAAATTGCATTTCATCAAAGACACTCTTCTAGGATTTGAAATACATTGAAAGAGATGAATTTATGAGGGAATCAATTGGAATGTAATGCTTTTGTCTTAATAATCTCCTTCATAGAAGAGATTACATGTTTAATAACAGCCTTACTTCCACATTGGTTGAGCCAACTCTATGTTTGGTACATTTAGTGAAAAGTAATGTTACTTATTCAAAGAAAGTGTTAGAATTTGAAATTTGTTGATTGGATTTATTTAGTGTGATTCTCATTACATGTACATCACAAATTCAAAATTTAAATATGTTATTTGCATGTGGTTTTTTTTTCCTCGCTCAAAATGTTAATAATATATGACGAAGGGATCATATTGTAACAAAATTCAAAATGTGGAGATCAAATTATTTAAATTAAAATTAGTAGGACCAAAAATAAAATTTAGCTCAAAATAGAGGGATCAATGGTATAAATTTCCCTTTTTTTTTAACTAGAATTCTATTTTGATTTACCATTGAACACAAATCCCTAACCATGTATTAGTCCGGCGAAATCAATCTGTGAGTTCTTCTTCCTCACTCTCTTTATTTGTTTGTCAAATTTTAATAATGAAAGACTACAGTTGTTTTCTCTAATTTCTTTTCCATAATTTGTGATCCTTAATTTATTTGAGGATACAATTGTTTGGCCGTAATTATCAATTAGGGCTATAATTGTTTAAATTACTTAGCACTGTTAATCTGTGATCCTCAATTGGCCCTAATTATGGTTGTTGCCGTAATTTGTGTTGTGTTGTTTTGTCCATGTGCATATTTGAGTATGCAATAAATCAATTCTAATTCTATACTTGTTGCTATTTTTCCATTGCTTTGGTGCTTCAATAGAAATCTCTAATCTTTGTTGTGCTCCAATTTATGAAAACATATTATTTGCCGATATCAATCATTGTGAATTTGTGTGGATTTTTTATTATTATATAGTCATGCCTCCTAAGAAGTATATTTTCGGATTTGAAAAAAAGAAAAAAGAAGCAAAATGTAAAAAAAATTATTCAATCTCAATCAAGAGTGCTTGCTAAATTTATTGATTGAAAGAAACAAATAGAGGGGCCCCTCTTAAGAGTTCACTTAGGACCCCTTAAAACTCAAGGGCGGGGCTTGACTCCTTGACACCAGTTTGAATACACCTGTTTGAATACACCTGCATTTCATTTTCATGGATTTAATAGTAGTTTTCTCTTTTCAAATACATATACTCTTTTTGAAACTAACAAACTCATATTATTGGCTAACAATTAAAAAGGTAAATAAACTTGAATCACACAAGTACATTACATTATCATTCTCACATGGACTAAATAGGAAATAACCTGATAATCAAATTATGTATACACTTTGTGACATATAGATTCTAAGTTTGAAGTTAAAAGTACAAGCATAATCCTCTTCCTTTTTGACCGAGTGTTTACCATTTCTCACAGTTCTGACAAGCATAAAGCTTCTATTGTCCTATAATTTAGTTACCAAAGAGCAAAAATGAGAAGTCAAGGGCATAAATATAAACTCATTCTTGATCAGTTCAGGTGATTAACATAATTCATGTAGTTCAAACACATAAAAGCATTATTAGCTATTTAAATCACTATTTATCAAATTGAATCTCTTAGAATACCCACAAAGGGCATAGAGGCCAATAATTTTAGAGTAATACTATACAAAGAAAAAAATGTAATCAATTTACTACAAAATGACAGGACAAGTGTAGATTTTGAAAAGTGTCACTGTTATACTATTATATATATTCCCAATTTTAGCAATGGAAAGCATAGCCATATATTGTTGGGACTGTGAGACACCAGAAATCAATCGCACTCAAGAACACAAGAATATTTACGTGGTTCGGCAAACGCCTACATCCACGGAGAGCTATCCACTATAGAATTTTCCCTGAGGGAGTTTACACACTCACACCTCACTTATACACTATAGTACTCTCACTTCGCACAATCTTCTCTCATATTACACACTACAATCTCTTATACCAAACCCCTCCTCCTCACCTCAATTTATACACAATTGAGGGAGGCTCTTATTGGTTGCCACCAACCCCTTCCACTAGCTAATGGGGTTGGTGGAGTGGAAGAGTGGGAGAGCCACTATCCATAGTGGTTTCTCCATTTGAATGGGCAGTGGACACTAACAATTCTCCCCCTCCACGCCCATATGGAGAACTGACTTCTCATTTGAATTCCATCCCGGCAATGTCTCTGAAGATTTCGAGTTTGTCTCTCAAGACCGCCTTTGTAAGTATGTCAGCTGGATTCTTATCTGTATGGATCTTGATCAGTTCCAATAACTACTTTTCCATCACTTCGTGTATCCAATGATACTGAATATCAATGTGCTTTGTGCGAGAATGGTACATCGAATTTTTGCTCAGGTCTATGGCACTCTGGCTGTCTATGGCACTCTGGCTATCACAATGTACCGTGAACTTCTCTTGCGTTAATCCCAACTCTTGAAGAAATCGCTGTAACCACAACATCTCTTTCCCAGCTTCCACTGTGGCAATATATTCTATCTTGGTTGTGGATAAAGCAACACACTTCTGTAACTTGGACTGCCAAGACACAGCTCCCCCTACAAAAGTGAACAGAAATCCTGATGTAGATTTTCTACCATCAAGATCTCCCGACATATCGGAATCCGTATAGCCTTCCAAGACTGGTTTAGCATCTCTAAAGCACAAGCACATTTTTGTCGTACCCTTGAGGTACCTCAGAATCCACTTGACTGCTTCCCAATGCTCTTTTCCTGGATTGGAAAGGAATCTGCTTACTACTCCAACAATATAAGCAATATCTGGTCGGGTGGACACCATTGCATACATCAAACTCCCTACGGCGGATGAGTAAGAAATAGCCTCCATCTCTTCTCTTTCTTTAGTAGATAAGGGACAAGAACTCTTGCTCAGCTTGAAATGATTATCCAACGGAGTATTGACTAGCTTGGAATCTTTCATGTTGAACTTTGCAATCACTCGTTCAACGTACTTCTCTTGTGACAGCCATAATTTCTTGGCTTTCCTATCACGCACAATTTGCATGCCCAGCATTTGCTGTGCAGGGCCTAGGTCCTTCATGTCAAAGGACTATCATAACTCCTTCAGTGATCTGATTGCTGTGACATCCTGTCTAACAATTAGCATGTCATCAACATAGAGCAGGAGTACGATGAAGTTTCCATCGGGAAATTTCCTGACATAGACACACTAATCTGCAGCAGTTCTCTTGTACTACTGTCTCGGCGCTTGTTTGAGGCCGTAAAGACTCTTCTTCAATATGCAAACTAAGTTTTCTTTCCCTTTTACTTCAAAACCTTCTGACTATTTCATGTAAATTTCTTCCTTCAGATCACCATGGAGAAATGTCGTCTTCACATCCATCTATTCAAGTTCTAATTTCAAACTGGCTGACAGTCCCAAAACTACTCGAATGGATGTCACTTTCACAACTGGCGAGAAGATTTCATCAAAATCAATACCTTTCTGCCGAAACCTTTGACAACCAATCGAGCCTTATACTTGACTAGCTTTCCACTGCCATCTTTCTTCAACTTGAACACCCATTTGTTCTGCAATGGTTTTCGACCCTGGGGAAGTTTTACCAAATCATAAGTCTGATTCTTCTGCAAGGACTGCATTTCTTCTTGCATAGCTTGATACCAGATACTATTCTCCTTATGATTCTGAGCTTCTCTAAAACTTTCTGGCTCCCCCTCATCAGTAAGCAAAATATAATCAGAAGTAGGGTATTTTGACGACGGCTTAGACTCTCTTGTTGATCTTTGCAACTGTGGACCAACAGTCTCCGGCGGAGGGGGTTGTGGCTCCCCCTACTCCACACCCTCTTCTTCTAGATCTTCTCTTCTGGCAATTCATCCTGCAACTCTACATCATTGATTGCATGTTGCAGTAGCTCTTCCTCATCAGTGGCATGCTGTGATGGTGCAGGATTGGGAACAATTTCTAAAACATCATTAACTTTGGGTTTGGCAGGTTGCCCAAAGTCTTCTAAGGTCAGGCCTTCTTGAAATACCATATGTCGGCTTCGAATGACCTTTTTTTTTGGATCCCGTAATCTGTATACAAATTCTTCATCTCCATAGCTAATAAAGATGCATGGAGTGACTTTATCATCCAGCTTCTGTCTGTGCTTCTTGGATACATGTGCAAATGCTTTACACCTAAACACTCTCAAGTGAGAGTAAGAAATCTCACTTTCAGACCATACTTTCTCTGGAATATCAAAATTCAGTGGAGCTGATGGCGATCTGTTGATCAAATAGCATGCAATACAAACTGCTTCGCCCAAAAATGGCTTTGGTAGCTTTGCCATTTTGAGCATACATCTGACCTTCTCCACAATGCTATGGTTCATTATTTCGGCTACACCATTGTGTTGTGGGGTCCCAGGAACAGTCTTCTCATGTCGGATGCCGTGAGTAGCACAGTAGGCTTCAAACTCCTATGGCGTGTACTCGCCTCCATTGTCTGTTCAGAGACACTTCAGCTTTTTCCCAGTCTCCCTTTCCACCATAGCATGAAATGCTTGAAAATGCTAGAACACCTCAGCTTTGGTTCTTAGGACATAAACCCATACCTTCCGTGATGCGTCATCAATAAACATCAGAAAGTATTTTCTGCCACCCAAACATTTCACTTCTATGGGACCACATACATCAGAGTATACTCTCATCAACAACTCTGATTGTCTTCTCGATGATGAGTGGAAAGCGACTCTATGTTGCTTCCCAAACAAGCAGTTGTCACAAGGGTTCTATTTCGCATCTTTGGCAAAGGGAATAAGTGACTTCTTTGGTAGAATTTGTAAACCCTTTCTCACTCATGTAACCAAGTCTTTTGTGCCACAAATTTGGTGATGCCTCATCTTCTGCTGCGTTGAGGCTATCTAAATGCACCTCCACATGAGTCTTGTACAACGTGCCACTTGCCTGTCCTCTGGCTACCACCAGAGATCCCTTTTTTAACTTCCACATCCCTTTGCCGAAGTAGTTCTCGTAGCCTTGTTGATCTAAGGCCATCCCTAAGATAAGATTCAGGCGTAAATCGGGAACATGCCAGACATCTTTCAACACCATCGTGCACCCAACTTTGGTTTGGATGTGAACATCACTGATTCCCACAATCTTTGAAAAACTGGAGTTGCCCATCTTCACTGTACCAAAATCTCCGGCTTGGTATGTACTGAAGAACTCTTTCTGGGGTGTGGCATGGTAGGAAGCTGCTTTATCTACAACACACTCGGTGTCGTTGTCTAACATATGAAGGGATTCTTTTTCTTCAACAGAGAATAATCCAATATCATCTGAGATAGTAACTGCAGTGTTCCTATCTTCAGCCTTTGGCTGTCTATTGCCTTGTTTTTGTTCTCCCTTCAAGGCATAGCAATATTTCTTTATGTGACCCTCCTAGCCACAATGGTAACACTTGAACTTTGACCGGCTCGTACCTTCTCTAGATTTCTCTCTGTCTTGAAATCTTCCTCTGCTGCGTCCTCTGCTTTTGCTTCTTCCTCTGTCTTTACCTCTACCTTTATTTTATGTGATGAGGGCATGGGATTGATCTCCACCCAAGTCTTTTCGCCTTGTCTCTTCATTGTACATGGCGTCTGTGACCATGCTCATGGTCAGCTTCCCTTCTGGTGCAGAGTTGCTGAGAGAAACCACCAACATCACCAGCTATTCGGTAAGGAACTGAGAAGTAGAACGGCTTGCATTTCATCGTCTAAGCACATCTTGACGGTTTCAAGCTGATTCACCAGACTTTGAATTCACTAGTGTGCTCGGTGCCAGACACACCATTCTTCAATTTCAAATTGACAAGCCTTCTCATCACCAAGGCTTTGTTCTGAGCGGTCTTTGACCGGTACATATCGTCTAGCATTGTCCATAGAGCATAGGCATCTGTCTCCTCGGCGACATGATGGTACACACTGTGGTCTATCCATTGTCTGATACAATCGATAGTCTTGCAATTTATCTTTATCCAGTCATCATCCTTCAATGCTTCTGGTTTAACCTCTTTTATAAAAATAAGGTCAAACAGGTCTTTATAATACAGGGTGTCTTCCATCCGTGACTTCCAAATTGCATAATTGGAAGGAGTCAATTTGAACATAGATCCCGAAGTTGACGTTGATTCCTCCATCAACATTTGTCTATACAGAAAATGATCTCTGTCTGAAAAACAGGCTTTGCTATTGAGTCCAGACTAGTCAAATTAGCAAAAAAAGCACTTCAGATTGTCCAAATAAAAACTACAAATTTTTGAAATCTGATTTGAAAAATTCGATCATACAGATGTGTCCGAAATACGCCAAATAGTTGGAAAGCACTATTGGATCGTCAAAAACAGACTTTGAATGGCTCAGATCAAGCTAAAATAGGTTTGACGGTTCAGATTGGTAAAATCTGGTGCGCCTGAGAAGCACCGAATAATTCCTCTCAATCGGCTGAGTTAGTGGCTCGGTCAACGGCTGGTCAACGACGCATGGAAGCGGCGCGGCTTTACGTCAACGGCTCGGTCAAATCAGCTCGACTCAACAGTTGGCAGTGCGGCTTTGGCTAGGCTTGGCAGCTTAGTCAATCGACTCGGTCAATGACTAACATGGATGACACGTGGCAACACGTGGCGCTGACATGGTGTAACATGGTCGTCTTCTTCCTTTCGCTGCGCATGAGGCACATGTCTGTGAGTGGTCTGACGCGCCGACTGCTGAACGGCCCGTGGAAGCGCATGTGAGACTGGGATTCACGCGCCTTCTTTGGGAGGCTCATGTGGGTGTGTGGAAGGTCTTTTGGAGCTCTTCTTTGCAGTTTCGAACTCCTCTTGATGAGACCTTGCTCCTAGTATGCTCAAAATCGGATTTCGAGCAACTTAATTTCTGGCAGTTTCGAAGGAACGCACTCTATTTTCCGAAACGCAACCGATTCGGCTCTGAAACCACTTGTTGGGACTATGAGACACCAAAAATCAATCACACACAAGAACCCAAGAATATTTACGTGGTTCGGCAATTGCCTACGTCCACGGAAAGCTATCCACTATAGAATTTTCCCTGAGGGAGTTTACACACTCACACCTCACTTACACACTATAGCACTCTCACTTCTCACAATCTTCTCTCAGATTACACACTGCAATCTCTTATACCAAACCCCTCATCCTCACCTCACTCTATACACAATTGAGGGAGGCTCTTACTGGTTGCCACCAACCCCTTCCACTAGCTAATGGGGTTGGTGGAGTGGAAGAGTGGGAGAGCCACTATACATAGTGGTTTCTCCATTTGAATGGGCAGTGGACACTAACATATATCAATTCTATGACTAATAGTTGACTAGCTACAAACTAGGTCTTAAGGTAACCATGCAAAATTCCCCATCTTGAGAAATGGATAGATCAGTACCCATTTAACATTCCTTCAATGATAGCTAACTTATATTTTGTTTGAAACTTTAAATTTTCATCCTAGAATAGGCATATGTCAAAGTACAAGAAGGTTAAAGAGAATTTGTTACCTAGAGGTACATATCCAATGGATCCCCTTATTCCAATTGAACTACTTTGTTTAAGAATGGTAAGCTCTGGGCAAAATCTAGCTAGGCCAAAATATCCAACATGGGCAACCATGTCATGATCAAGAAGGATATTGCTCGGCTTCAAATCACAATGAATGATCGGTGTATGGCATTGGTGATGAACATAATCAAGTGCACAAGCCACATCTATGGCAATGTTTATTCTTTCTAGAAGGTTGAGTCTCCGGTGCTCATTTTGCCCATTATTAGTTTTTGGACTTGAATGCAGCCATCCCTCTAGACTCCCATTAGGCATGAACTCATAAACTAGGGCTTTAAAGTCATTTTCTTGACAATCAACACTAGAACAAGAAGTTATGATCTTGACCAGGTTTCGGTGTCGAATATTTCTCAAAGTTTCACACTCTGCAATGAAACTCTTTACAGCTCCACGGTTTTGAAGGTTAAGTACTTTGACAGCAGCGACAAACTCCCCATCTTGATTAACAATCCCTTGATATACAAAGCCAAAACTACCAAACCAATCAGATTCGCAGAAGAGAAACCATCTGTTGCTTTTAAGAGTTTTTCAGAAGAGATTTTCAAGAACAATTCTTTAAACAATAGAATTGTATTATGAGTAGTTCTTTTCTTCGTGAAGCAATAAATTATACAGAGAGACACTAGGGTTCCTCTTACAAGTACAAAAGCTACTGTAATTGGTAATATATGTGAAAGAGGCATCTTATGCTTTGATTTTTGGGTGATGCAGTTGGGTAGTTGTAATTCAGAAATACCACCACAAAGTCTATAATTTCCAACAATTGATACTGCACTCGCATTTGTGAAAACTCCTTTCATTGGTACCTCACCCTCGAAATCATTGAATGATAAATTGAGTTTTTGTAGGGCAAATTTTTCTAAGAATGTTGGAATTTTGCCAGACAAGTTATGAGAAAGATCAAAGTTTGCAATCCCTCTCAAAGTTTCCGATGCAAGAGGAATAGATCCTTGGAAGAAATTTTCCTGCAAGGATAGGTTTTCAAGGCTAGTATAACTACCAAGACTGCTAGGAATTTCACCAGACAACCCATTCTCAGAAATATCCAATTCCATCAAATTTTTGAGGCTTCCAACATCAGCAGGCAAGGAACCAAACAAACGGTTCTGAGCTAGATTTAATGAAATTGATAAAGTTGAGATTCTCAAGAGTTCTCCAGGAATGGTGCCACTCAGGTTATTTTGAAATAAATGTAGCGACAACAAATTTCGGCAGGTACCAAGACTTGAGGGTATGGTCCCCTCAATTCTGTTGCCCGCCAAGTAAAGTTTAGTCAACAATGACAAGTTTCCAATGGAATTTGGAATTTTTCCCGAGAGCTTGTTATTATCCAAACTCAACCTTTGCAACTTCTGAAGAAAGCCAATGCTAGGGGGAATTTTGCCAGTGAATTGGTTGTTGTACATATTTAACAAAGCCAAGTTGACAAGATTACCTATTGTTGAAGGAATAGTTCCATATATTTGGTTTTCCGAATGCGTTAAATAAAAGAGATGGTTTGATAAATTGCCCACAGAATCTGGTAATACCCCTCTGAATTGATTTCCCTGCATACGCAACTTTTCCAAATTGCTACAATTGGCCAAGGAACCAAGAAAGGCTAGTTCATCAGGTTCCCCGTTTCTGAAATGGTTATCTGATATAGTTATCTTCCTGAGATTCTGTAGGCTTCCAAAATCATTTGTTATTTTCCCATTGAAGTTGTTTTCTCCCACATCAAAACTTACTAGTTCTAAAGAATTGGATATTAAAAGTGGAAGAGGTCCAGTAAATTGGTTACCATATAGCTGGAGGATTTGAGGATGAGGGAACATGGAACCAAAGCCCGGTGGCAGACTACCATGAAGTTGGTTATAAGGGACAGAAAAAACAGTTAGAAAGGAGAAGTTATAAATAGAAGAAGGGATCATACTAGAGAGTTGAGTAACGCCCAATCCAAGGAAATTTAGATTTTTCACCAAAAGGATTATAAGAAGCAGAAATTCTTACGAGAGAAGTAAGATTCCCAATGAATGGAGGAATACCTCCTGTCAAATTGTTCAAGTGAATTCCAAGGTATATGAGCTTTGACAATGGAGTGAGCGCTTCGGGGAATTTTCCGACTAGATTGTTGGAACCTACACCAAGGTATGTGAGGTTTGAGCAGCGAGAAAGGTTGGCCGGAATTTCTCCTTCAAAATTGTTTATGCTCAGGTTCAGTTTTTGAAGCCTGAACAGATTTCCAATTTCAGCTAGGATTTCACCACGAAAAGTGTTGTTATTGAGCCTCAACTCGTGAAGGAAGCTGAGATTCCCAATGTGAGGAGACAAGGAACCAACTAGATCTCCGGATTGTAAGTCTATAATGGTGACTCTCTTGTGCCAGTGACCGCATCTAACACCTTTCCACTCAAAGAAATGGTAAGAATTGTTCCATGAGTTCACAACCCCAGGAGGGTCTTGTGTTATCTTTGTCTTGATGGCGAGCAATGCAAGGCGATCAGTCTCATTCCCAACAATGGTATTTGCGGGGGTGGTACTGACTATGAGACATATCCCACTCCACAGCGGAAAACCCATCCTTGAAAGCAGAAACGCCATTTCTTTTTTCTTTTTTCTTTTTTCTTCGTTGTGGGTATGCAAAGTTAGCTTTTAATTTTTTGTGATTTAAATCACCCACTGATTCTAACATGGCAGCATTGTCGTGTGGGAATGGGGTTGCTGATCAAGTTGTTTTCGACAACTCTACTGTTTGTCCAAATTTGACAAGTCTCTCTCTCATTAAATGAGCTATTGACATGGACAAAGAAAACGGAACAAGAAAAGTTATATAATGATGTTAAAAAAATAAATAATAAAAAAAATTGTTGAATGTTCAGAGTATCATCTGATACTATCTATCTTTTGTTTCTTAACTACTTGAAAAAGATGAGTTAGTATGTCCTATTATAAAATTTTTGATTACATTTGGAGTACCACATAAGTGATACCACATTATGTTCCAAGATTATTGAATAATAATTACCTTTAAAAAAAAATGAAAAGTCACATGACAGTAATAAGGGGTGCGAATTCCTTACTGATAAATTATTTGGTGATTTTGGACCAAGTTCAGGTGGTACTCCAGATTGATGGTTATTGGTTTTGTTGATACCGTTCGTCCCAGTGGATGGGTCAGACTGGTCCAAACTCCCCAAGGTCAAGCCTAGATGATCAAGCCCACCGGATAACCTGCAAACAAGTTCAACGGGGAACGGGGTAGTCCCCCAGTTAACCCTCCGATGATCAAGTTAGGAAGAGAAGTGGAGTATCTGGGAGAAGATTAGAGATAGAAAGCTTAACCTTTTTCTTGTCTACAACGTTCGCTTATATCCTTTGGCAATCATTTCGCTGTCCCTTCCGACCTGCTCTCCTTGCCGAAAGCCTATGCTGTAGCTCACCTTGCTTAGGGTAAGGGGGTTTTGTTCCGGCGGAGAGGTGTTGTCGTAATAAATGCTGGGATGGGCTGCATTAATGGTGATGTGCAGTGGCAATAACTTTGCAGATCTTTGTCTGCTGATGTGGTTCGTCTTTCTCTTGCCGTGTATCTGAATGTCATTGGCTTTTTACACCATGTTGGACTCCAGCTATCCTAGACCTCATCAGTTGGGTTATGCACTGGGCTTCAAGTGATGGGCCATGGGTGGTTCATGGCCTTTATGGGCTTATACATGTCAGTAGTCCGCCATTCCCGAGTGCAGCTTTAGTCCAACGAAGGGAATATTAGTGATATAGATGAGTGTGTTGGGGATTGGCAAGATGGAGGTCGACCGGAAGGGAGGGGGTCGAACGCGGGGGTGGGCCGAGCGAGAGGGCTGACCACGACGAGAGCCGACCGCGATGTGGGCCGACTGGGAGGGCCGATCGTGACGTTAGGCCGAGCGGTGGGGCTGACCATGGGGAGGGCCGACCGCGCTGTTTGGCCGAGTGGGAGGGTTGACCGCGGGGAGGGCCGACCGCGGTTGTCACACCCCAAATCCGAGCATGACCGGCCGTGGCCCACAGGGACTTAGCCCAAGGCACACGTAAGCCTAAACCTGAATCCAAAACCATAAAGAATAAATGTGATGATAGCCCAGAAATAAATAAATCAACACTCAATCCAATGACATACCACAAGTGAAAAACAAGTCATAACCAACTTCCTAAAAATATATATATACTAAATGGGACACAAACCGCCCACAAAATAAAATAATTCTAAATAAAACCCAACCACAATGTATGCACAAACTCAATAAAGCAACCTAAAACAAATTAAATAAATGCCCTAGAGGTCTATACAATTGAGTCCCCGCTACGCCATGAGTCCACTCTAAGTCATTCTAACACCCGGAAATGGTAAACAACTAAGTCAGCTGATAGCTCAGTGAGTAGCAACATGGATAGTAAATACAGTTTTGAAAACAGGGTTCAATTCCAAAATAAGTTATATATCACAGAAACTAGATTGGCATAGAGTTTGGTAAATACAATCTGTTTCAAAAAGAAGGTTCCACAGTTCAACACTTAAAATACTCATGTCTCGCAAGAACATAATAAACAATATTTTCCACTTAAAACAGATTATAACATGAACACCAATAATTTTCTGGGTACCAATAAAAACAAATAATATGCCACACATTTCTCAAGCTATAAGCCCCGTTGGATCCAATACCGAACTAAGAGTCATCCTCAGGGTCAAGTTTGTGCATATTTATATTTATTCTTATCGAAGTTCATTTCGGATTATTTTTGATATGTGGGTTGTTTATATCCCATAAGTTTGGTTGGTTTTTGATTATGGTTGATTTTGCCGTTTATAATTGTGACATGTCTGGATTGAGTTTTGGTTATTTATTATTGGACTATTGTTCAGTTGTTCAATGTGATTGGATTCGTGTTTAGGCTTACGTGTGCCTTGGGCTAAGTCCCTGTGGGCCACGGCCGGTCACGCCCGGATTTGGGGTGTGACAGTTCATCATTATAAACATGAGACCAAAACAAATAGTTTACAGTATGCCAAGTTCACACATGTTTCAGAAATAATTTGATTCAATTGATAATATAATAATTTATCAAAACAGTTTAATCATGAAACAACAATTTAATTTTCCAACAGTTCAGGGTGGGGGAACATTTATAAAAATACGTAGCATGAAACTACTCACCTGAAAACGAAATAATATAATCCTCGAATAGAGTGTAAAAGTCCAACTAGTGCCCTGAACCAAGTATAAAAACTACACGTTACAACTAATTTAAAAATACTAGAACTGTTTGGGAAGCCTCAAACGAGGCTATTGTAGCCTATTTTCATAAAATAGCCCAAAAGCAACACACTGTTGCCAACTTTTTCAAAAAAAAAATATATATATATAGCCTAAGCGCTGGACAGTGTAGTCACAGCCGGCCATTGTTCCATCAATAGCTGAATTACCGTTTTACCCCTTAGCCGGAAATTAAAAAATTATAATTGTAGGGACAAAATGGTCATTTTAATTACAAACATCTTTTCAACACTTTTTTTAATACACCAACTCCAATAAAAATTTAACCCAACTTCCCAAACACAAAACTAAAATAGCCTACTAAAATAGCCAAAAAGCCAAATAGCTTACTAAAATAGCCACTTCCCAAACGAGGCCACTAAAAAATAGGAACTAAGTAACCTCAACTAAAGCGCACTAACACGGCTCAACCCAACTCACCGTTACTCTTAAATATTACCTAAATTCATGTTCTTCATGGTTTAAAATCACCCAAGACATGGGTTCCGGTCAAAACTTAATTAATTGTGATTTTAAGATAAAACAGAATTTCAAACAAGCCTTCCCAACCTATTCGCTAACTTTGAAAATTACAAAACCCACTCCACGCTATTCGAAAAATTCCAATAACCTCCAGATATGATCTAATATATCCTGAGTTTCGAACCCAATTGGTTTCACTTGATTTGCTTATCAAAATAATTTTCTACAATTTATTATATCCAAACAGGTTGTTTTCTGCAGCACTTTAATGAAATTGACGGTTCTCTTAATATACATGAGCGATCAATGCAAGGCCAAAAACGTACGAAACTAGACTTGTAACCGGTTCTAATGACACTAATTTGATAATTTTTGGATTTATACCCAGAGAGAACAGCACTCCCGAATTTACAGTTTAAAACCAGTTTTCTGGACAGATTTGAACGCATGAGATTATATGGTTTTCGAATCCCAAAAATTATGAAAAAATTCAGATATGCAATTCAATATGTAATTGATCTACTGCAAAAATTTCAGTTTATGCTCAGAATTTTTGAACTAAGAATAATACCCCTTCTTTATACATAATTTAACTCCTCAAATTTCTTAATAGTATATATATATACAAAATACATAAACCTACAACCTCTCCATGAATGAATAAAATAATAATGGAATAAGGATAAAAACAAAACCAAAAGGAAGAAGAAAGATAAAGACCTACCACATACGCAAAAATTACTCCTTGCAATCCCCCTTTTCTTTTCTTCTTCTTTTCTCTCAACTTCTTTCTCCCCGTGGCTGTTGTGGCTGCTGCTATAGAATGTATTAGGAACCTAGGGTTTTTCTTTTCTTTTCTTTGTTATACATAACATAAATGACTCTAGACAAAAATGTCCTTTGTTTTATTTTATTTTATTTTATCTTATCTCTCCATTAATTTAAATAAAACACAACTACTATTAGATCAAAATATGCTTACTAATTTGACACTTAATTTTATTTTATTTATTTATTTTATATAATAAATCTAGCCTCTAAATTAAAGACTTTCACCGTAAATTTATTTTAGTTCTAAGAATTAATTAAAAGACGTTCCAAATATTTAATTTGCACTTTAGGATTTACCACCAAAATATTTGGGATTGTAATATTATTATTATTTAATTATTTACTTGATTTTTATATTCGGGTTCTCACAGCGGTATTTGGCCGAGTAGGAGGGTCGACCGCAGGGAGGGCCGAGCGGGAGGGCTGACCACAACGAGAGCCGACTGCGATGTAGGCCGACTGGGAGGGCCGACCGCGGCGTTAGGCCGAGCGGTGGGGCCGACCGCGCTGTTTGGCCGAGTGGGAGGGTTGACCGCGGGGAGGGCTGACCGCACTGTTTGGCCGAGTGGGAGGGTTGACCGCGGAGAGGGCCGACCGCGTTGTTTGGCCGAGTGGGAGGGTTGACCGTGGGGAGGGCCGACCACAATGTTTGGCCAAGTAGGATGGTCGACCGCAGGGAGGGCCGAGAGGGACGGCCGATCGCTAGGAGGGCCGACCGCGGTGTTTGGCCGAGTGGGAGGGTGAGGTGGAGGGGCGTGGGGCTCGAGACGCGGCTGGTCACGTGGTGAGTTGAAGTGGAAAAGACAAGGTAGGGGGAAGGGACAGTGGATCATGGACGTACATGTGGCAACATCCCGTAGGGGGGGAAGATTAGGCGTTGGATCAGAATTTAAACAGTAAGGCATTATGGGTGTTGAAGAGACAGTTTTTTGGCGGATGATTTTGAAAAGTTTTCAAACTGGCGAAAATTAATTGGGACCCTTGGAATACGGGCAA